ACATTTTTATTGTTTTAATAAAATGTGTATTTTTGATCGTATCATATGTTCTACTTTTATTTTGACATATTGTTTAATATATTATTTTTTTAATATTTCAATTATATTGTTTATTTTATTTAATACTAGTAACTTTTATTCGAAGCAAATATTTTAATCGGCAATGAATAAGAAATTGCAAACGATCACATACAGGAATGAATATATAAATTATCCTATATATATATACTTACATCTATAAAAGTCTTGCTTTACATTTTTTAAATCTTTTAATCGTTAAATCGTCATATGCATTTTATGTAATGAATAATACGATATAATATCAGAAACGTCCAAAATACACAGATAAAAGTAATTTCAAAGCATTTAATTTAGAAGCCAAATTGAAATAGAGAGTCCACACTAGCGAGACATCAGCTCATTTCTCAGTCTCGGACAATCGACATACATCGGCTGACTGAGAAAAGTTTAATACCCGGCGGCGCCACATATCAGCTAAAAATAATTTAAAAGAGACGGGGGTTTTTGAAAATTTTCTCCCTCCTCCCCGCCCCTGATATATTTGTTTTATGTCTTTTTTTCAGGTGTAAATGCCTACCTATAGGTAGGTTAATGGTTACAGGTTAATGTAAGTATTTATCTATACAGGCTGTGCCAGACTTATCGTATCACCCCTTAATGGCAGATTCCTGAGATTATTTGGAGACAAAAATCCTAATGCCAAAATTTCGAGGTTGCCAAATTGTCATCCCGATATTCGTCGGTTTTGCGAACAGTGTACAAAGAAATAAAGTGAATAATAATTTCAAATATTTCTATCGAGTTGAGTAAAGTGTGGAAGAGCCGTTTTGACATGCGACGTCCTTGAGTGCGTAAAATTTCGATAAGCATATTAGTGAAATTTAAACCTTTCCCGTTCAAACACTGTAGCAGCCTCGATATTATGGCATTAGGATTTTTGTCTTCAAATAATCTCAGAAATCTATCATTAACGGGTGATACAGTAAGTCCGGTACACCCTGTATAAAATATTTTATCGAAATGACGTATAAAGTTTCATCCTACAGAGGTAACATATGCAACGATGGATTGCGAAGATGTGCAAATATGTGCAAGTATGTGCGAGGTAATCAATAAAAATTTATTTATCAAGTAAAGAAGTAGACTTTTTATTGCTCTTCTCGATAATTTACGGGTTTCAGCTATCTTTTACATTTTAGTAATATTGTTACGTTAAGAAGCGAATAAAAGCTTCCCCCTTTTTAAAAAACAGAGTTCTTTCCCGCGAGTACAAGCGTGCGCTTCTCGTAATAATTGTATGATGCTTCCTTTCCGTAAGAAAATCCTGTAGCAAATCCTAAAGAGATGTGTAGAACATCAATTAACAAGTGGCACTCGGATTTGTACTTGCGATATCGTCCAACATTTGACACCCGCATCAAGTAAAAAATATTAACAGTAATCGCTATTTTGATTCCGTTTTATAAAAACCACATGTGGAGAATAATAAATTGTCTCGACTTGAAAACAAATCTTTCGCAGAAGCAGAAGTAAAGCGACTCTAAAGCATAGGTTTCTGTTTTCCATTTAAAAAACACGATGTCTTCACACTCTTTTAATATCAATAAAATGAATCATTTTCGCTTATTTAATATTTTCATAATACAGAATTACTTTTTCTAAATCCTTTTTTAAATCACGAAAATAGTACATACATTGCATAAATAATGAACTCGAAAAAATATGACTATTTAATGTTCAAAATTTTATGGTCACGCCTGTACAAGATTGTGCAATAAAATATAAAAATTAAAATGTTACTTTATCTGATGTTATGGGAAGACTTTTGTAATAAAGTTTTACATGTGGTGTAAGTTAAATTTGTCTAAATATTGAATCGTGTGCATAGATACAATTTATATATTGTATAGATTGTATCTATCCACACGAGTCTTATATCTTATATCTTATATCTTATATCTTATATCTTAAAAAAGTTTATTTACACCACTATGACCTTTACACATGTACGTGTACGTGTGCGCGCGCGCGCGTGTGTGTGTGTGTGTGTGTGTGTGTGTGTACACCTACATACATACAGAGAGTGTCCTATTTTAACTTAGACACCAAAATATCTCAAACACAATGGATTTTTGAAAAAATGTTTCTAATAAAAGTTGTAGGATTTGAAGACTGTCATCAGATGAATGACTTAGATTTTGGATCTGGGGCCCACTTAAATCGATTTTTTTAAATAAAAACTATTTTTATTGTATAATTTTTTTCTACTAATTAATTTGATTAACTTTTGTCTGAAAAATTTTTTTATTTCCCTAATACTTTTTGAGATATTAAAAAAAAACTTGGTAACTTTTTCAATATTTAGCTTATGATATCTCAATAATTGTTTATCGGAAGGAAAAGTGATACATATATATATATATATATATATATATATATATATATATATATATATATATACACACACACACACACACAC